GGTCTGGTGAACTATATTGCGTTATACACAGAGGTGTCTTTATTTAGCATGGCCTCATTGATATAAATGGGATGGACAAAATAATAGAAACACCTCAGTATAACGTGATACAGTTCAACAGCAGCACAGTCACAGGGAAAAACTGCTAGCTTTGCTGCTTACAGTGTGCAATGGATGCATTATGTTTTCCTCTTAAAACACAAGTTGAAAAATCTACATTAATCTATATACATTTATGTGTTTGTATGTCTGCAGGTGTTTGCTGAGTTCCATCGCATTATAAATGTGAAGCTATGTAATCAGTTCTACTGTGAGGTTGACAGACACACACCTCAACTGATTGCCCTGTACAGAGAGACGGACAGGCAAGACAGCAGAGGCACTCCGAGAGATCTTCAGGATTTATGACCGCCATGGGAGTTTAAGATTAACTTTGCTGTGAGCACAATGATGGATCTTGATGATGACTCTATGATTATGTAAGTTGAACTGGCTTGATGTGCTGGTAAATATTTCTATCATGATTATTATGTTTTGGTTGTCAATCTAGGAACAACATGATGTAAACATGAGACGCAGTCTGGTCCTTCGTGCCCTCCCGGTGTACCTAAGAGAGGATGACTATGAGTTCTTCAGACCTGGAATGTAAGTATTTAGTGCACTCAGAAATGTCAATATCAATGACATGTACCATGAAATATAGTATGGGAAACGCCTCTTTTCATGTTCAAATGGATGGATAGGTTGTTTTTCCTCTCTCAGTATAATGCTAAAATGTGGTATGTACAATGAAAGAGTGATTGGGGACCTCCTCTCCAAATTAGAGAGAAATCCACAGTTCTTGTTTCATGCAAATCTCTTTCTGTAAGTGTATTTGAATCCAATATGAGTCTTCAGCTGTCTGAGTTAGAATGATGTTGACATTGTTAATGATACATGACTTTAAACCTTTTTACTGGAATTATCCTCGTCATTGGATTGTTTGTATTTTTCAGCAAGAAGATGAGCCAGATGTTGCTGACACTCCTGTGGGTCTCCTTACTGTGGTCACTGACAACACAACCCATTTCAGCCCCACGAGCATTTCTGTTGTCATCGAAGATGAAATTGTTGTGAGTGATCTCCCTAGGTTGACTGATGTTAAGTTTTTAGAGAACTGTTCAGGAATCAGTGTTCTTAACTCCTGCTTTTAAAATAAATCAGGCTGTGGCATTTTGTTTTATTTCTCATCTTAATGGCATTACTAGAGAATCTCTAGCAATGCCAACCAATGCTAACCCTATTGATAAGCCCAGGTTTTTGTACTGAACAGCTTGTGGGAAACAACTGTTCAATTCATGCACTATACATGTTTAATGTTCTGTTGCCTAATGCCTACCTTGATGCACTACCTTTATGTTGCCAGTTGAAGTACGGCACAGTAGAAACCAGTACTTTATTTTAATGTTTTATTTTAAAAAGTGAGTTGCAGCCTTCCAAAATGTTTTTTAACAGTGTTAAATGGCTCCACATTCTAATAGTTGTCATTGCTGTTGAGGATGGATTATATTTAGAATCTTATTCAATTTGATCATGAATCCTTTGTGAGTTTTTATCATAATGTTTACTGAATAATGTAAGATGGAGACCCAAAATACTGAATCTACCCTCTGTAGCAATGACCACTATCAGAATATGGAACTATTAACACTTAATGTACTTTAAAACACATTTAGTTTTTTTTTCTTTTAATTGATGACAAGCACTTTGTTTTGACTGAGCTCCTTCGATTCGTAACTTTTAAAAATCACATTGTGTTGAATAAAAAAGTTGTTAAATTGTCACTGTGGTGTCACTTTAATGTTTTCTAACATTATTAGCTGGTTATAATTGTGAAGTGGGCTGACATGAGTATTTCAGTTTAGAATTATTTTGAGTGGATGTCCCACATTATGAGTGTATTACTCCCTAATGTAAGTTGAGGAATATCAATATTTATAAGATAACATTGAGATAATTTATGGCAACTGTAAATGTGATTTTTATTTTATGTAAACTTAAAACATTTAAAAACATCACTAAAATATTGTTGTGTAATCTGTTACAAAATCATTTTGGAGTTGTGTGAACTTATTAGGGTTTACAGTGTAGAATACAAAACACACAAAATTACTTAAATATGTTATCAACATTTTTAGTGATTTGTAATTTATTTCAACAATGAGTATGTTTGACTATGAACAATGTTAAGATATAAAATTAAAATATAATTATAGTTTTAGTGTTCATGTGTTATCATACTCCATGGATTTCACTTATCAATGAATTGAAATCATACTTCGAGAGAGGTTACCACTGAAGTGCAGCAGACTGTTTCACACCCTGTTTTCATGAAAGCATTAAAAATATGACTTTTTAAATACTGAACATTTTGTGTTAAAACGTTCAAAGCTAATCATTATTAAGTATGTTTTTAGTGAAACCTCTGTTGTTTTAGTGTCAGTGCAGCTGTTGAGTCAGATCAGTTCCTCTCCAGCTGAGGGAGGTTTTTGTACGACGTTGTATCACTGTGTGAACGGGAAGCTGTTACTCTGCTGACAGTAGTAAACTCCTGAATCTTCAGCCTGAACTCCACTGATGGTCAGAGTGTAGTCAGAACCAGATCCACTTCCACTGAAACGACTTGAAACTCCAGACTGACGGTTTGAAGCTAAATAAATCAGGAGTTTAGGAGCTTCTCCAGGTTTCTGAAGGTACCAGTGGAGGTTGCTACCAACACTTGAACTGGTTTTACATCTGATAGAGACAGTCTGTCCTGGAACAACAGACTGAGTTCCAGGAGACTGAGTCAGGGTGATTTGTCCTGATGAACCTGAAAACATGAAACAGAGGAGAAGGGTTATTGAGACAAATCCAGCTTGGAGAAAGATGATCAACATCCAAACAGAAGAGTATCATTTCTTTAACATGGAGAATAGATGGAAGAAGGTAAATGCTGCTTGTTTCACTGTTTCTCCATCATAGCAGAACATCATTGTGGTGAACCTGGTTGCATCCTGAAGCAAAGTTTTCAGAAGAGAGTCTCACCCTGAACAAGGAGCCCCAGGGTGGCCAGCAGTAGAGTCAGTGACATCATCATTGTGCTGCCGGCGTGTCAGTGGCTCTGAAAGGCCTGGACAGCCACTGATCAACACTGGCCTCTTAAAGGCTGGGAGCAGAGAGGAAGGACACATATGCAAACACACAGAGTCAGTGAACTGTAGCTGTCCTCAACATATCATGCTGTTTCCTCCTCACTGCTGGGAGTACTGACTGTTTAAATCATCCTCATGCTGATTCACAGAAACTCACAATGCTGTATAGTTATTGTAAATTGATGTTTTAAGTAAAGAAAATGTTTGCTTCTTCATTTATTTAACTAAACAAAAGTCTTAAAGGGAAAATCTGTTTTATAAGAGAGGATGGGCCGAGGTGGCCTCATGTAAACAGCATTAGGTCAATAAATCCACTCACACACATATAGGCCAGGACAACTGTCAATCATTACACTAAAAATAATAGAGAAAATGAAGGTCCATAAACAGGTCACACTAAACAACTAACTTTATTTTACAGAAAGTACATTTCAGCCTTTTTTCCTCAGCACAACACTGGACCAAACGTTCATCAAACTGTTGTAAAAGACCTGAGATCAAATGTGGATTACAAGGAACTATCAATTGTATCACTATTGTATTTAAATGATGTCATTAGTAGAGTAAATTACAGTACACTGCACGTCCATATAGACTGTAGAGCTATGTTGTTCTCTGTTGTACACTGTTAAACTGGTTCAGTCCTTATCTGTCAGGCAGAGATGATGTAGTCTCACATGGTCAACATTCCTCAGCTACTATCAGCATATTATATGATATAAAGATGATTGACAGCTGTGCATTGTTACATCACAAAATGATTTCTGTCTGCTCAATAAATATGTTGATTTTTCTCTTCATTATTTATTATTATTCATATTTATTGTCCCAGTCACGGCTGTGACTTCACTTCTGTGTTTGCGTTTTGCAGAACTCACAATAAATACCTATTACTCATCTGAACTCCTGTGTGTGAGTCTGCTTCTGGGTCCAATCTGTGTTGGATCTATGCACAGCTAAAAGTTTATTCCTGCCGGATCCTCGAGGGTTAGCAACCTCAAATATAAAAGATTATGGACATTAAAGATGTTTTACCATCTCTCTAATCTTTCAGAAATCAGGAGTGGTTGGTGTGTCAGATTATTTTGGAGATATTGCACTTGAACTGAGGTCTGACTGAGCGATACCTTCACTGTATCTTTAATACTGGCAAATGTTTCCAGTTGCATCAATACCCAGGTGGATTGGGGTCGGCTCAATGTAATCGAATCTTTGTGTTTGATCAGTTAGAAATACGAGATTCTCATGGAGATCCTTAATACCACTTTTAGGCGCATTAAACTTTATTTTTTAGACCAAAGATGTGCTGCAACTGTGCACCTCCTGGAACTCTCCAATCAGTTTATGAATGTCAGCAGCTAAATGTGAGCCTGCGTTTGGAGATAAAACAAGGCCAGACTGTTCATAAGACCATTCTCTTGTACTTCATTACTTACACTTTCTTTTCCACCATCCAAACCTGTTTGTGACATTTTGATCATTTCACAGTTTTAATGAGCTAACTGTACTGACAGTGGAAGTACTAGAACTGTGGGTACATCTTATTGTTATGTTTCCAGCTGGTGATACGGATATGAAAATAGTTATAACTAATTATCATAGTGGTAAAACACTTTGTCCTGTCTTTATTATGCAACTGGAGATGCTCACATAAGGTTGAAATATGTACTGACACAAAGCTACAACCCTCCATTTTCAATGCTGCAGCATCTCTTTCTGTGTGTTGGTGGCACTGGTTGAACTGTGTGTCTGTCGTATCAGTATTTAGTATTCATTGTTCAAAATGTCATTCAATACAGACGAGTGAAGGCAAGAAGCTGCGTTTCTTGTTTCTTAATCCTTCTCTCGTTACTATTCACCTTGTTTAAAGTTACTGTGTGTGTGTGTGTGTGTGTGTGTGTGTGTGTGTGTGTCCTCAGTGAACTGTATCAGTCTCTGCAGTAGCTTCCAGCTGCAGCAGTCAGTTCAGTTTCTGTTCAGTCTGACTGAGGGAGGTTTGTGTACGACGCTTTTTCACTGTGTGAACACATACTGACTGTTGACAGTGTTAGCACCCTGACAGTAGTAAACTGCTGCGTCTTCAGCCTGGACTCCACTGATGGTCAGAGTGAAGTCTGTCCCTGATCCACTGCCTGTAAAACGAGTTGGAATCCCTGACATTCTCTGATTGGTGTAGTAAATTAGAAGTTTAGGCGTTTCTCCATCTTTCTGTTGGTACCAGGCTAAACAGTATGCACTGCTACAACTCCAAAACTGATGACTGGTCCTACAGCTGATGGTGACGGAGCCTCCCACAGCAGAGCTCACTGCTCCAGGCTGAGTCACTGTGACCTGGCCTCTGGACTCTGAGGATACAGAGACAAAAACATAAAGCAGCGTCATGGTTCTGTGGGCTTCATTTCAGAGGGACGGATGTTCATAGAGGAGAGGAGTTTGATTCTCTGGACTTTACCTGTGAAGCAGCAGCAGAGGAGAGTCCAGATGAGGACGGAGATCAAAGTCATGTTTTTGATGAGGAGGATTTCTGTGTCTTCTGTTGTCATGAAGGACAGCTGTCAGTCATCCAGTGTTCAACTCTCAGGACTATAAACTCTCCCAGAGCACTGGAGCATGGTGCTGCTGATGCAAAGTGGCTCTCTATGGAAATGCTCTGACTGACTCCAACAGGGACTTGGATTACTCTGATGATGCTGTTTCTCAATGGATCAATCACTTTATCAGAGTATTGATTAACAATGTATCAGTGATCATTTTAATGTGGAATGGGCTTGATGACTGCACAATGATTTTCTTTCAGAACGTCTTCTGTCTGCTTTAATTTAATGCTAGAGAGATCAATGTTACTTTCATACATATGGAACAACAAATATGTAAAAATGGGATTAATTCTGAACAATTGTGGCACTGTTTGATAAATAGAACATGAAATAGTTCATTCTTTTAAAAACAGGAACTGTTGATGTTGACTTTGTTGTGTTCAAAGTCAGAGAGCCGTGTCTCTCTACAGTGAGAGGTTTTTGTACGACGACTCAATCAGTTTGTATCACTGTGGTACACGTTCGGTGGAGGAACCAGACTGGAGGTTGGAAGTAAGTTCAAGTTTTGATGTATTTTATAAATTCATGAGTAACATTTTCTTTTCTGCAGGTACTTTTTTGTCTTGCCATTAAAATATCAAATCTTAACTTCTATTTTTCTCCATTAGTTTTCTATAAAGAAAGTAAACTGCGAGTTTTAAAATCCAAATTAAATTATGAATGTAATTACTACAATTCCTCGGTGAAGAGCAGAAGTCATTTATTTCAGTTTTGAGATTAAAGTGAAAAGTTGAGTACTTGCAGTTTAAGCTTTGTCAGACAAAGTCAGAGAGCCGTGTCTCTCTACAGTGAGAGGTTTTTGTACGACGACTCAATCAGTTTGTATCACTGTGGTGGACTTTTGGTGGAGGAACCAGCCTGGAGGTTGGAAGTAAGTTTCTGCTCAAATATTAAATATGGTATCATCAGTTAATGTTTTAATTTCTGTGTCTGAACATTTGTAGTAGATATAAATTGCCACTGGGCTGATCTAAATCACTTTAAAGACTCAATTTTATTGTTGGTTTGACCTTAAAGTTGAACTCAAAGCAGCTTTACTGAACTTTTCTTTAAATGTTCTAGTTAATTAGTGAAATGTGAACAGCTTGAACTGCAGGAAATGTTAAAGAACAACACTCATACTGTACAAAGGTTTTTAAAATTCTGTCATTTATTCTGCATTTTTAACTGCAGTTAAAATAACATTTAATAGTGTGAATGATAAATGTTAGGAATGATTCCAAATGTCTGATCTTCTAAAATGGCACAAATTGTGTTTTAACCTCAGTTAGAAATAACGCTGACACTTTTCTGAAGCTTTTTGTGTTTTTCAGTCCATCTGTTTAACAATTCAACTGTGGTTAATTAGTTTTAGCTGATGATTGATATTCAAAGTCTATTTTCATGTTTTTTTCAAATAGTCTAAAATAAAATCCCACCAAAGACATGTTTTAATGTTGATATTTATAATGTGCTTCTGTTATTTGCAGTGTAGTTTGATATATTTCAGGTCATATGAGGACTGTGTCTGTGCTGATGTGCATGAGAGGTTTCTTAAAGGGAAGTGAAACAATGTGTGAGTGAGTGACTGCTGGAGCAGAAAAACCATCTGACAGAAACTCCTTAAAGGAGAAAATCAACTCTCACACAGTAAAGGTGTCCAAGTGGCTGCTGGTTGATTGACAGCTGTGTGGTCCCTGTCCTCTAATCTGATCCGTGTCTCCTAGGTGATGTCCGTCCCACCCTGACAGTGCTGCCCCCCTCCAGTGAGGAGCTGCAGCAGGGGAAGGCCACGCTCATGTGCCTGGCCAACAAGGGCTTCCCCTCAGACTGGAGTCTGTCCTGGAAGGTGGACGGCAGCAGCAGCAGCAGCAGCAGCAGCAGCTGGGAGCAGAGCAGGAGCCCCGGGGTGCTGAAGGACGGCCACTACAGCTGGAGCAGCACCCTGAGGCTCTCTGCAGACCAGTGGAGGAAGGTGGGCTCTGTGACCTGTGAGGCCACCCAGGGCTCCCAGACTCCGCTCTCAGAGACACTGAGGAGAGACCAGTGTTCCCAGTCCTGACCTGACTCACTGGGACTCTGCTACTGGTTTTACTCTGCTACTGCTCTCACTGTGCACTCTGTAACTATCTCTCTCTTTCATTTGACATGTTTCAGTCAGAATATTTACTAGCTTGTTGCAGTGTTTCAATATTATTTCACTGTTTCCAGATAATAAAGACGTGTTCATCAAATCACTTGTTTTCATCTTTATTATTATCAAAGTGTCTTAATGATTTTCTCTTCATGGTGTCAGTGACTGGATTACATCCAGAGAAAAACTGAGGTGACGCAAATAATATGCATTATCCTTAAAATTAAACCACAAAAGTATAAAAAATATTCTGAATCCGAAATAAATAGGGGTCATCAGCACAGAAATATTTAAAATAAGTTGATGCAAACAATATGCATTATCCTTTAAATAAAAGTACAGAATGATCATCTTAAATAAATAACAGCATATCATCAGCATAGAGTTTGACGTGTAAGTTTACTGATTTTGCTGAAGAGCTCAACTGCACAGACAAACAATTAAAGTTAAAAAGGGAACAAATTAAAGTGTTACTGAATTACATACAGTATAAATACTTTTGACACATTTATTTGTTAGAATACATGTTGGCTCTTTTAAAATAAAGACATTAGCACAGTAATCTAATCATAAAGTTGCTCTCTGTTTAATTGTTTGCCCTCCATATTTACATACATGAGGGACTTTTACATAAAATTAAAAAGGCGTTATATAAGTACAGTCCATTTACCATTTATAATTATCACCTCTATGACAGCATCAACAACAAGTGAAAATTATAGGCATCATAAAAGTAGAATTATTTAAAATTGTTACTTTTATTTGTGAAGAACATCTGTCTTGGATTGGATTATAATACCCAAGTGACCACTGAGTATGTCTCTGCTACATCAGTGAGAAAGAAAATGTTAAAGAGGGCCATTACTGTTTCAAATATTTGTTTAACTTAAAAGTACATTTATTTAACCTTCAGTTTTAGTCCTCTGCATATTTAGTGTGTGTGTTACGTTTTTTTTTGTTTTCTCTCATTTTAATACGAGTACATCCTAACTCTATACTGCTCTATATGAAAAGTGTCCTGGGTGAATTTCTAGTTATGATTTGGGGCTATACAAATCAAACAAAATTGAAAAAGATAATAACACAGAATGCTCAGTGAAAGAAGAGTTAGCCGTAAAAATCTAATGAGATGAAATATTTCCTCCAGACCAAATGATTTAGTGTTTTTGTGTTAGAATTCCCTCTTAAATCATTTTGTTTATGATTCAAGCTTTGATCTAAAACTGTGTATCAGTAAACTGTAACAATGTGATCTATCACACACTGTTTCAGTGTAAATAAAATAATGTAGTAATATAAATAGTTTTACAGTTATTTTCACGAAATATCGTTTTTACACAATCATGATTTTTCATTGTAGAGAAACCTCTGTTGTTTTAGTGTCAGTGCAGCTGTTGAGTCAGATCAGTTCCTCTCCAGCTGAGGGAGGTTTTTGTACGACGTTGTATCACTGTGTGAACGAGCTGTAACCCTGCTGACAGTAGTAAACTCCTGAATCTTCAGCCTGAACTCCACTGATGGTCAGAGTGAAGTCAGAACCAGATCCACTTCCACTGAAACGACTTGAAATTCCAGACTGACGAGTTGTAGCTGAATAAATCAGGAGTTTAGGAGCTTCTCCAGGTTTCTGAAGGTACCAGTGGAGGGAGCTACTAACACTTGAACTGGTTTTACATCTGATAGAGACAGTCTGTCCTGGAACAACAGACTGAGATCCAGGAGACTGAGTCAGGGTGATTTGTCCTGATGAACCTGAAAACATGAAACAGAGGAGAAGGGTTATTGAGACAAATCCAGCTTGGAGAAAGATGATCAACATCCAAACAGAAGAGTATCATTTCTTTAACATGGAGAATAGATGGAAGAAGGTAAATGCTGCTTGTTTCACTGTTTCTCCATCATAGCAGAACATCATTGTGGTGAACCTGGTTGCATCCTGAAGCAAAGTTTTCAGAAGAGAGTCTCACCCTGAACAAGGAGCCCCAGGGTGGCCAGCAGTAGAGTCAGTGACATCATCATTGTGCTGCCGGCGTGTCAGTGGCTCTGAAAGGCCTGGACAGCCACTGATCAACACTGGCCTCTTAAAGGCTGGGAGCAGAGAGGAAGGACACATATGCAAACACACAGAGTCAGTGAACTGTAGCTGTCCTCAACATATCATGCTGTTTCCTCCTCACTGCTGGGAGTACTGACTGTTTAAATCATCCTCATGCTGATTCACAGAAACTCACAATGCTGTTTCTTAATGTCAAACTAAGCATTTTTAGTTTACAGAAGTATAGAAAAGTCATATTATGAGAAAATCTGTTATACAAGAGAGGTTCTGCCAGGAAGGAACACATGAAAACAACTGTCACACTTTACACAAAAAAAATGGAGAAAGTGATGGTGCACATACAGGTAATTCAAACTGACAATTAATATTCAATTTGATCATAAGGAATTCAATCGAGGATAGGCTCAGGGTAGTGGGCAACAGACACATTTTATTAGTACGAGAAATTCCTTGAGATGAACCATGTGGTTTTTCAAGGGGGTCTTCAACACAAAATAGAGTAAAGTACAGTACATAAAGCATTGCCTCATTAGCTATTCCTTAGTAAAAGTTTTATGCTACATGGTTGGTTTGGATCGTGGATGCACATATCAGATCAACAACCTTCCTCAGCTTGAGACACAACTGCAAACATCAGGTTACGAGTGGAGTTTGGAGGCACCAGTTGTGAGCAGCATGCCCTCTTCCATTTCTGTCAGGTCACCAACTGCAGCAGAAAATACTTTTTTCTTTACCAAACAATATGAAGTCCTCCTCCCTGTAAAACAAGACTAGCTGCACTGGATGTGTTGTAGTCTCTGCTAGTGTCATATAAACAGCTAAAAGCTTCTTTCTGACAGATCCTAGAGGGTTAGTAACCATAATTTAATCTTGATACCATACTGTGGATATTGAACACATTATTGTTTGCAATGATTTTACCATCTCCAAGGCCTTCCAGCACATCAGGAATGATTGGTGTGTCACATATCGTTGACATACTGCTCTGGAACTGAGGTCTGATTGAGTAATGCCGTCTTTGTGTCTTTAATGGACAGATACTGGAAAAATCTTTCTTTTTTTCATTTATGGGAGAATATGGGGACTGACAGACCCATACACTCCTTATCTTAGTAATATAAATAATAATATAAGCAAAAACTTGTTCTTACAGCAGCAGAATATGTTGCAGTCAAACCTGTCTGGTCCTTTATATGCATGAAGAGCAGAGCAAAGAGGCAAGAAGACATAACGTAGACAACAAAATACCAGAGTGTGTGGTATGAAACAGTTAGACTGTGAACATGAAACAGGCTCTAACTATAAAACACACAATACCAAACTACTGTACATATAGGGGCTCTTATATATGTCTGTTAAAGTGTCCTCATACATCAGGTATTACTTCATAATGCACAGGACTGTTGAACTGTGTGTTGTGTAAAACACTCCTCATAAATAAGGTGTGTATTCCTCTTAATGCACAATGCTTTTTAGTGCCATTATTGTGTGTTGTATAGCTACTGTCCTCACAAATTTAATGAGTTAGTGTGTGTGTGTGTGTGTGTGTGTGTGTGTGTGTGTGTGTGTGTGTGTGTGTGTGTGTCATCAGTGAACTGTATCAGTCTCTGCAGTAGCTTCCAGCTGCAGCAGTCAGTTCAGTTTCTGTTCAGTCTGACTGAGGGAGGTTTTTGTACGACGCTTTTTCACTGTGTGAACACATACTGACTGTTGATTTCATGTTCACTCTGACAGTAGTAAACTGCTGTATCTTCAGCCTGGACTCCACTGATGGTCAGAGTGAAGTCAGTCCTTGATCCACTGCCTGAAAAACGACTAGCAATCCCTGATGCTCTTCGATTTGCCCAGTAAATCAACAATTTAGGAGTTTCTCTTTCTTTTTGTTGGTACCAGGCTAATATGTAGTCAGAACCATCATAGTGCACAGCAGGACTGCTCCTACAGCTGATGGTGACGGAGCCTCCCACAGCAGAGCTCACTGCTCCAGGCTGAGTCACTGTGACCTGGCCTCTGGACTCTGAGGATACAGAGACAAAAACATAAAGCAGCGTCATGGTTCTGTGGGCTTCATTTCAGAGGGACGGATGTTCATAGAGGAGAGGAGTTTGATTCTCTGGACTTTACCTGTGAAGCAGCAGCAGAGGAGAGTCCAGATGAGGACGGAGATCAAAGTCATGTTTTTGATGAGGAGGATTTCTGTGTCTTCTGTTGTCATGAAGGACAGCTGTCAGTCATCCAGTGTTCAACTCTCAGGACTATAAACTCTCCCAGAGCACTGGAGCATGGTGCTGCTGATGCAAAGTGGCTCTCTATGGAAATGCTCTGACTGACTCCAACAGGGACTTGGATTACTCTGATGATGCTGTTTCTCAATGGATCAATCACTTTATCAGAGTATTGATTAACAATGTATCAGTGATCATTTTAATGTGGAATGGGCTTGATGACTGCACAATGATTTTCTTTCAGAACGTCTTCTGTCTGCTTTAATTTAATGCTAGAGAGATCAATGTTACTTTCAGACATATGGAACAATAAATATGTAAAAATGGGATTCATTCTGAACAATTGTGGCACTGTTTGATAAATAGAACATGAAATAGTTCATTCTTTTAAAAACAGGAACTGTTGATGTTGACTTTGTTGTGTTCAAAGTCAGAGAGCCGTGTCTCTCTACAGTGAGAGGTTTTTGTACGACGACTCAATCAGTTTGTATCACTGTGGAGGACTTTTGGTGGAGGAACCAGACTGGAGGTTAACTGTAAGTACTGTTCACTTCTACAAGAACTCGAAATTAATTTAAAATCTATTTTTATTGAATGAATAAAAGTTTTGAAAAATAATTTAGCTCATAGTAAAATTAAAATAATATTAAAGTGACCATTACAGGCTTCATTGTAATACAGAACAAATTCTGTCTGATGAAAGAACTTTTGACTTGGCCTTAAAATGTTAAACATGATGCTTATTTAAAGTGTTAAAGTTTTCATTGTTCTTAAGATATACAGCCACTTATTGAAGACAACATTCTGTTCAATGATTTCTCCTCTGACAAAGTTCTGTTTTCAGACTTCTTATTTCTTGACCATTTTAATGAAATAATTAATTTTCTGTGGGAGAAATGTTTCCAACATTTATTAAGTGAGTGTTTTATCTGGAAACATTGTTTTACTCAATCTTCCTCCCAGTCTGATGAATGTAATGATATGTAACATCCTCACTATAACCAATGAATATCATAATGTCACTACAGCTTCTTCAACCACATGCTGTATTAGTGAAATTCATATTATGAGTTGGAAAAAGGATTTCAGCATTTAAACAGTTTGTCAGCAGTGAAGTCTGTCTGTTGTCATGGTTCAGTAGTGATGCTGCGTAAATGAAGACAACAAACACACACTGTCTCTTATGAGTTTTGGATTGAGCTGAAAAATAGAAGAATAATGTCTTTTAAACTTTTAATAACATGTAATGATTGTTTAGGTTTGTTAATTTAACCAAAGAAAGAGTTTCTGCTCTCAGCTGTTTAGTAGGTTTAACTTTTTTAGTTGCAGTAAAAGAGTGCCAGTTTTAATGTTTTATCTTTAGTACTGAAACCTGTCTGTTGCCATGGTTCAGCAGTGATGCCTGTCTGTTGCCATGGTTACTGGATTCAGAGAGGGAAGTGAAACACTGAAGACCAGTTTCATCCAATCTGAGGAAGACCAACAGAAGCAGCAGCCTCCTCTGCTGCAACCAACAGGGTGGAGTTTATTTTCTCTCTGTATGAACTTTCTTCATATTGTCTCTCTGTCTCCTCCTCCAGTGGGTCGAGTCGTCCCCACCCTGACGGTGCTGCCCCCTCCAGTGAGGAGCTGCAGCAGGGGAAGGCCACGCTCATGTGCCTGGCCAACAAGGGCTTCCCCCTCAGACTGGAGTCTGTCCTGGAAGGTGGACGGCAGCAGCAGCAGCAGCAGCAGCTGGGAGCAGAGCAGGAGCCCCGGGGTGCTGAAGGACGGCCACTACAGCTGGAGCAGCACCCTGAGGCTCTCTGCAGACCAGTGGAGGAAGGTGGGCTCTGTGACCTGTGAGGCCACCCAGGGCTCCCAGACTCCGCTCTCAGAGACACTGAGGAGAGACCAGTGTTCCCAGTCCTGACCTGACTCACTGGGACTCTGCTACTGGTTTTACTCTGCTACTGCTCTCACTGTGCACTCTGTAACTATCTCTCTCTTTCATTTGACATGTTTCAGTCAGAATATTTACTAGCTTGTTGCAGTGTTTCAATATTATTTCACTGTTTCCAGATAATAAAGACGTGTTCATCAAATCAGTTGTTTTCTTCTTTATTATTATCAAAGTGTCTGGATAGAAATGATTGAAAACTGAACTGATGCAAAGAATATAGATTATTCTTTAAATAAACCCACAATAGTACATACCATTTTCTAGATCTGAAATGAATATGGGTACATCATCAGCACAGAGAGAATCAAAATAAGTGGATGCAAACAACATGCATTATCCTTTAAATAAAACTACAACAGAATCATCATCATAAATTTATAACAGCACTTCATCAGCATAGATAGTTTGATTGATAAGTCTATTGCTGTGAACATTACAACATAGTAATTTAAAGTTAGTGTAAAAATGTTTTTTTCCAGAATTAAATACTTGATTAATGTATTTGACACATTTGTTTGTTAGAATACCTGTTGGCTCTTTTGAAATAAAGACATTAGCACAGTAATTGAGTCATAAAGTTGTTCTCTGTGTAATCATTTGTCCTCCCTATTTACATACATGAGGGGGTCAGAATATGCAGCACACATTTACCATTTATAACTATCACCTCTATTACAGCATCAACAAAAACTGAACATCATAAAAGTAGATTTATTTCTAATTGTTACTTTTATTTATACAGAACATTTGTGTAGGATTTCATTATAATGTACTGGTGTACCTAAGTGACCACTGAGAGTTTCTACTACTTCCATAATACAAAATGTTGTGGGTTAAGGAGGTGCATCACCATTTCTAAGGTTTTTTTAAGTTAAAGTCTATTCATCCTTCACT